GGGGGGGGGGGGGGGGGGGCCTGTAGCTATTGTGAAAGGACCCGATAAGGTCCAAGGAACGATTTTGACCTGGGTCACTACTTGGGTGAATTGGTAACTGACAAAGCTTCACAGAGCTAGCTTTCGTGGTAAGCTCATACATAGAGGAGTTTACAACGAAGGAACTCAAAGTACTCTAAAATATCCATGACAGTCTGCCAAAATCGACACTGTCATACACGGGCCCCCCAGTACTGCTGCAATACACTGCACCATACGTAACGGCAGTGCCTTTGCATACTCCTTTCAAATGCTATACTGCACCTCTGCAAACAGAAGAGCTGGATTCTTTGTGCTCTGTGAGCCTACCGCAAGAAGTCCACGGGACTCATTTAATGTTATGCGTGGGCCCATAGATGCTCGATCCATCCCTGCAGCAAAGTAAGCCCCTCATCACTCCAAAACCCGAGACGCTGAACCTCCAAGCTCTTGAAACCCGAGATGCACTCAGACACACCCCATTATGGCTTGGGTTTTCTGCATTGGGTTTTGGGACCCGGATAACTTGCAAACGCGAGCCCAGCACGTTTTCCAGCCGGAAGCAGGCCATGAGTCTTCACTCCGACCGCGCCTGCTTGAGGCGGCCCACAAGATACATCATTAGTAGCAAGAGTCAGATAAGCAAACCGCAAAATTGACAAATAGTCAGCAGAGTTATGATGCCGGAATTCACGGGTACGACAATAGAATCAGCAGGGGTGGACCGAGGGTTCTGACATTCGGTTCCAAGGTTGACTGGCCATCATCTCAATGTGCACAACAAGCAGTTCGAGGCCTTCTTTGCTTGCGACTCACCGTCGCCGTCGGAGTCGGAGTCCTGCCCGAGAAGCAGTTTGGCCTGGCGTCATGAAGTCACTCGCCCCCAAGTACCCCGATACCTCAAAGAGCACTCCCGTGGGAGACAATCGAAGAGGCGGGAGAGCCTGCGTGATGACAAAGCCGCTGACGTTCGTCACCTTGGCACAAGTTTCCTCCCAGAAGCCGACTTACTCGTGTCGGGCGTGACTCAGGTCCCCACGCTGGGACCTTCACACCGATCCAAGACCTCAGCTCCATCATCTATCCACAATCCACAAACCCTAAACCCTAAACCCCTCTTCTTCTTCTTCTTCCCCTGCGCCAAGGTCCGCGCACTCAGCGCCTGCTCTGGCCCAAGCGTCCGCAGCAAGTCCTGCATTCTCCGAGGCGAATCTCGACCTAAGGGGGGAGGGGAGGTGGGGCGTTTAGGGTTGAGGGCTTCGGGTTTAGGGACCT